GGAAATTATTAAAATATGTTTTCACACTCAAGTAAAGCAGGAATTTTGATGATTATAATTTATCAAAAATTGGAGAATAATGTTGGATTAAATTAAGTACCAAAACCAAAACAAGGAATTATGTACCTTGTCTTTCTTCTGTCAACATATATTGTTCCTCTTCTAGTTCTGAATTTTTACCTTTTTCTCTTGATTTTATTACATGTACTAGCTGCAAAGACCCACTTCGCTGGGGTTTTATTTGTGGGCAAAAAGTAACGATAGTGAAGATTAAGATAATTACATTATAGCCAATCTTTCCCGTTTTCACAGAATGCAAGAATTAGGTCCCCCGTTTCCAGACTAATTAGAGAATTTTTAGAGTCTAAAAATATGATTTCTTGCAAAAAACTGCCTGTAAATGCATGCCGCTTTATATTAACACTTCCATTGTTAACACTACCACTATTACACATCTTCGCAGTCAACCACTTTCAATCACATATCTCCTGCACCCTTATAGCTATCAAGACACAACCACCATAGTGCACGAATAGAGACTTGGGGCTACTACCACATACAAACACCATTCATGTGCGATGTGTAGTTTTGGCTAAAAGTGAAATATAGGGACACATACATCCATTTTTATATACATATATATATATATATTAGACGTAATTATATATATAATTAAATAGACAGGCATACCTCACCTTACGTCGAATTAATTTGTCAATAGGCTAAACCCCAAACAACCATTCCCAGTTCTGTATTTCATTTATAATATATGATTGTAAGCTTAAAATAGATCCTTATTAGGGTTTCTGAAACGGGATTCCGGGATCCCGGTTGTTTTTTTAACCTGGGAAATATCCCGGGAAATTTTTCTTATCCCGGGAAATCCCGCAAATTTCTTAAAAATTCACTTTTTTTCTTATTTTGTGTTAAGGTTGAGGAGTTTTGCAAATAGAAAGCATAATTAACTCATTCACTGCCAGAATACATTTGTATTTATTAATTTTAAACCTACCTATTAGTTTTTTTAAATTTTTGCTCGTTATAGCATGTCACAAATGGTCAATAATCAATATATAGCTTATTTGTGGCATGACTATAAAAATTCTTTACTTGTCGGAACCTGTAATATCTGGAATAATTGTGCTTACGCTGTCTTGAGTTTTAACCATGCCCAGTAGCTTCAATAAATGCCTGACGCCAGATTGTGCAAATTGGGCAAGGATACAAACGAGTACAAAGTCTGCAAGTATGAAGTTTTTCTTCATAAACCTGATTATTAAAGCCAAATGAATTGCCGAATTATCGAGCTCTAAGCTTGATGCCGCTATTAAAGCAGCCAAGGTAGACAAATCAAGAATACTAGAGAGCGAAAGAAGTACTACAATCTCGAAAACGAACTCGAAAGCTTCCAGGCTACAGGTGAAAAAACACATAATATCTGTCTTCTCTTAAATGCATTAAACACTATTCCAATCACATCAATTGAATCGGAAAGGGCATTCTCGGTGGCAAGACTTTTCATTACTAAAATAAGAATTAGAGTGAGTTATCGGAGTATTGACCATCTTTGCTTTTTAAAATCTTATAAAAGTTTGCAATATTTTGTATTATATTTTATTTAAAAAACGAAAATTACCTTCTAAATTAGAAGTTCATTTTTTTAATTTTTAACTCAATTCAAAACATTTTTTTTGTTGTTGTTGTATGCAGTTTCCAGCAAACTTTAATTAATTTTTTTCTATTTGTGAAAATTTCTACGTTATTTAAAGGTAATTTTTATTATAGGCCTATAGACCTAACACAGCATTATTAATATGATTTTGGAGGTTACAAAACTTTAAAATTACTTTAAAAAATGGAAAATAATTATATCATTTGATTTCAAGATATTTTGTATACCTTAAAAATAATTAATTCTATCCCGGGACAAGCAAAATACCGGGAAATGAGAAACCCTAATCCTTATTAAACATATTACTTTTTTCCCGTAGTATATTAAAAACTAAAATTTATCTAAATTTATGAATACACATACAGTACATCACAGACTCTTTATTAATGTGGTTTGCCCTAAGACATATAAAATAAAATGATTTTGTAAGGTTAAATAACAAACACAGTTATTAAAATTATTTTGCGATAGTAGAAAATAAACTAATTTATGTTAAATTTACCAATTAAGACAACTTATATGAAAACATCTGTTATTCTTTTGTTCTCTAGGATTTATGATATATAGTATTAACATTTACTGTAAATGTACGTATTTTAATATGATTTTATATACTTTTATTCTTATTTATTGCATAGTAACATATTATGACTTCAATATTTGTGGCAGACAGACATAAAGTCAAATAAAATGAGTAAAACTTTATTTTTATTTTTTTGACAAACGACATAACCCGAGGTATACCTGTATTTAAAAAAAGAAACATTGTTAAGGGTTAGTGCAGATAAGAAATTCTAACAGTCTTAGGGTTTTCTAAAAATCACTTCATGCATCTAATAGTTTACAAAATAACTGTTTACAAAATAAAATCTAACTGTGCAAGATTATATGAACTGCTCACATTCATTCAAATATTTTTGTTTTTACACTTAAGAAAGTGGAGAAGAAATGGCCTCACTCAAAAATTAAATAAGAAAAAGTAATAAAGAAAATATTATATAATTGGTTTGCAGTAAATAATCTATTCTATGAATGTGCATTTTGATTGCCCTCTAAAAAGACTATCTATCCCTTTGTAGAGTCCATTCTCGCAAATTTTCTTGGAAAAAATAAAACAGAAAATCTTCATTCTCGTGACTTTTCCTTCAAGTATTTAGTTGTAAGCTTATATACTGTACATAAACCGAATTTAACAAAAGGCACTAATTCACAGTGTAGTAAACTGAACAAGATTTGTATTGTTATAAGAAATCAAAAACATTAATTAGACTAATTTTATCAGAATTACTCTACGTGCTAATATTAGAAATGCCAGGAAAAAATTTTAGATCAGATAATAATCCCTTTTTTTAAAAATATTTAGTACACATTCATAGATTATTATTACAATAAACCCTTTCATTGTAATAATAATCTATGAATGTGTAATAAAGTAAATGATATTTTATTTAATACAAATGTACGTTTAGTTAAAATATTCTGTTATTTTCATAAATTTATATTTTTGTTCTAAAATGCCATTTTTATACTTGTATCTTGAAGTTTAAAACAACTATGCAAAAAAAATGAGAGGAAGCAAACCACTGAATTTTTCAGTATATTTAAACAAACAGTTAACTGTTAATCTGGCAACATAATTGTTTGGATGAATTAATAATTAATACTTAAAGTTATAACAACATATTTTAGTTTTATTCAAGATATTGACATATAAATTTTTTAGTGTCTAACAACTGAAAATATTAGCGAGGGTGAAGCTGAAGTTTTAAATGCAAAAACGTGTAAGTCGGACGTTCAGTGCCGCTTTCCTGTAAGCCTGGAATGTCGAGCATGATTTCCCTGACTATCCAAACACCATTGTCAAACTTCTAGGCTTACAGGAAAGCGGCGCTGAATGCCAACGTACACGTTTTTGCATTTAAAACTTCAGTCTCAACCTCACTAATATTTTCTGTTGTTAGACATGAATAAAACTAAAATATGTCTAACAACAGAAAATATTAGTGAGGTTGAGACTGAAGTTTTAAATGCAAAAACGTGTACGTTGGCGTTCAGTGCCGCTTTCCTGTAAGCCTAGAAGTTTGACAATGGTGTTTGGATAGTCAGGGAAATCATGCTCGACATTCCAGGCTTACAGGAAAGCGGCACCGAACGTCCGACTTACACGTTTTTGCATTTAAAACCTCGGCCTCAACCTCTCTATTTATAATTTACACTGAAAATAAAAATTTCCAAATTATTTGGGGTTCGGAATTAACTTTGTCATCAGAGTGTTTGAAACAGTTTTTATACATAATATAAATTTAGATTACAATTTTTATACAGTTTACATATTGTCATGATAATAAATAACTTTTATATTGTAAAAATAAGATATTAGAAATAACCTGCAAGTTTAATTTTGTGATTATTAATTAATGATGATAATTATTACAATTATCATCACTAACAGTGAATGATAATGAAATTTCAGTTTTAGATTTTCTAATAATAAACAACACTTTTTTGCCCACGACTATAAATTAGACAGAATTAGATAACCTAATAAATAGGGTATAACAATTTGCAGGGCTTATCACACCAAGGCCGACAGATTCTGGTCTGGTCTGATTCTTCTTTCTGTTGGCCTTGGTGTGATATTCTGTTGGCTCCGGAAATTGTTATACCCTATTTATTAGGTTATCTAATTTTGTCTAATTTAGATTTTCTAAAATAATGTTTTGTTCAATGTACAATTAAGTTCTGCATTTAAAAAGCAGAGAATTTGAGAGAGAAAGAAGAAAGTTGAAGAAAAAAATATTGGATTTCAGAGGACCAGTTGATTGAAACAAAATTGTATTAATAAAAATCTTTTTCTACTACATTATATTTACAGTAGACAAGTAAATATAATTATTTTAATGATTATTATTTACTTTATCATCATTGTTTCAAAGGATTTCTTGCTTAATTTATACATTAAATAAAAGATACTTTTGAATTTTATGAAAGCTTTTATGGTGAAATTGCACAAGAGATGGTGACAGACAACTCTGACAAACGTCACTCTATGGTTAATTTCAGTTATTAACATAAATATAGAAATAAATAGAAATGATGTGATTAGTTACAAACTGATTGGAGACAAATGACTTCACTGATTTTTTTTAATGTGAATTGTATTTTAAACTATCAACAGAAATGACTGTCTTGAGATTGATTGGTTTCTGTTTGAATGAATAATTTTTGAAAAAATTTCATGTTTGTCCTCTGTCATTAATAATAGGTTGTATATTAACTTCTTTCAATAATCCTCATTAAAAAAATAACAATCTTTACTATTTTACAGGAAACAGTTCACACGGCTGAAAACGGGGCAGAAATTATAGAGAAACAAATAGTATCTGATGAATTTGTAAAAGGTATGATAAATAAATGAAAGAGTTTTATACAACATGATTTTTAGAAATTTAATTGATTTATACATAAAATCAATAATGAATTTGATGAAAAATGGTTTTATGTATAAATTAATTAAATCAATCCAATATTAGATTGAATGAAAATATTATGTCACCAATATCTAGCTTTATTATATTTTTCTCTTGGAAATTTACCAACTTCACAATCTCAGTTTGCCATTTTAAATTTTATTATTGCTTTCTAATTCCGTCATTCTTTCCTTGAGCTTTTCTTCAAAAATTATCGTGTCATCATTTCTCTTTATGTGTATATTTGCATTGTATGGAAATATATTCATTATTTATTTATATTAGGAAATGGAACCATACATTTTTATAATTCTCTGACCAACATTATCAAAGTAATGAAGCAAAAAGAGATTATAAGACTACAATTTTGATGTCAAAAAGTTATTAACTTCAGACAATAAAACAAAGAAAAAAGTAGCAAAATAATATTTTAGGGGAGGAACAAATGACTAGTCATATCACTAGTCATTTTGACACAGAATGAAATGGAAGATTGCTAAGAGAACAAAAAATGAAATAACATCTTATAAAGTCCTTTGACCCGAAGAAAAAGTATTCGATCAGATTTATGATTTTATTTATAATCAGACATAATTCCAGAGTTGAATTTATGTTCTGTAACATTGCAAAAAAGCATTTTTGGAACTCATCCTGAAGATATTGTAGAGCGATATCTCCAAGGTATGCCACGTTGGAATGACCAATGTTTTGATGATATTTATGTGACTACTAAAAGTCATTACAAGTTAAATAGTATTCCCAAATCAGAAGTGGATTCCATAATTGTATTATTAACAGAAACAGACAAAAAAAGTTTTATTGTAAGGAGTGAAACTATGCAGCTAGTTTTGTTTTAAATTAAGCAAAAATTATATTGACTAACTTTTCTGATATTTCTTAATCAGATTGAAATTACAAAAAATAATAATTCTATAACTGTACTAAAATGGAAAGACGAAAAACAGTTTGTCAGAAGATTGTTATTAGTGTGCAAAAACAATGGACAAAGTTTTATTTTCTAAACTATTTAAAATATATATTCTTGTATGGCAATAGATTCATTTTGAGTATTCTGTTGCTGAATACTGCAAAGATAAAAATCAATGAGAAATATTTACCTGCTGTGGTTTTTTAAAGAGTTTCAGAAGTCTTATGACTATTAGGAATAGTGATAGGAAAAGGGAAATAAATTCATAAATATTTGTAAAAGAAAAATGATGAATTTACAAATTTCAATGGATTTTTGTAAGGAACAAGTAAGTTAAAAGATATCAAACTAAGAAATATAACATATATGTCTGTGATAGAAGGAATGAAGAAAATGACAGTTATGGTCACTTGGATTATTTTTCTGAATTTTGTTATCAAAAAACAGAATAGATTTAATATGCAAATGACTCAAAAGTTAAACAACAGTGTGGAAAATTTTTGTACACTAAAAACTCTAAGAATGTATGTTTTACATTGAATTGATAAATAAAACCTTTCATGAATTATGTAAAAGCATGAAACACAAAAACTGGAGTGTAGGAACAAACTAACAAAAACAAGATTAAACTTTCAAGCTACCTTTTCTTTCACAGATAAACGTATTCTACCTCTTGAAATGCCCCTTAATAGGATTTAAGTCTAAAGCCTTGGCAACCAAATCACTTGTTGGATTCCATCCAAATACTGTTTTATCAAGCAAACTCTGAAGTTTTGGATAATTCTGTTTGTAAAAAATTGTTAAATTGAAATTCTTACACTAGCATATTATTCTTGTAGAAATTTTCTATTATTGTGAAAGAAACAATAATTTCTCATATTCTTCAAATAAAATAGTTTACATCAAAATCATATTATTTATCTAATATGGAATTAATACTTCATTGGAATATACTGTAGTAAAACACTTGAAAGTAAAGTGAAATAACAAATTGATGTTATTTGTAAAGAACAGAAGATATATCTGTTAAGAGTAATTGATCTTTTTTCTAAAAAATGATTATTGAAATGTGCAAAAAATTTAAATTTTTTGCACATTTCAATAATGCATTTTTAACATTAACAAACATTTAATAATGCATTAATAAACATGCCTGCCTTGGCTATTACTTCCATTGGCTTTAAAATTTATATATAGATATATTCCTCAGAAAATAGTGTCTATTAGTATCTGTGAAAAACATAGTTTCTTCATGCATCTAGTTAGTAAATGTATGCTTATGAAGTCACTTAATATCAAAATTAATAAAAGGGCGAGACTGCACAACACCAGCACTAGATCTTCATATGATACTGCCATTGAACTTTTGCACGAATAGTGTGAAAAGGAGGTATTGGAAGACTGGAATCAAACTGCAAGTCGTAAAAGTTTTGAAGGGTGGTTTTATTTGTAAAAAGTTGTATCCATATTGAGGAAACTGCAAAAGGAATGTATCAAGAATTCATCAACCAAACACTATTTTTTGTTGTTTGGGACAATCTCATCAATGTACTGTACCATAAGTCAAAAATTAAAGTGCCTAAACCATTTACCCACTTTATTTTATTCTCTCTCTATCTTGTACTCTACTAGCCTATCTAAAAGAAATGAAGTTTGTCTTTTCACATTTTATATAAGAAAATAAGAAATGTAACTTTTTATCTCACAAAATCTCTAAAGTGTGATTTTTTTTTAAAAATAAAGTATTGTTTTTTGTACCATAATTGTCTCTCTTTGTTCTTTCTAATATTGTTAAACATAATCTTCACTTTCTATTTGTTAAGACGCTATTCCAGTGTGAGATCAAAATTCTTACAGTTGCATATCTTAATCAGAAATGTTTTGTTAATTTATTCAACTTTCAGTTTGATTTCTGACAATGAGTAAAATCCTGACAAAGTTCTTTTTTATATTCTATTAATATAGGTTGTTGTTCAAGAATTTTTCTGTACAGTTGGCTCCATTAGCAGTGATTGGCAAATTTATCTAAAAGCATTTGAATTAGTAATTATAGTTCTAGTTTTAATTAAACTGAACTATATCTGAGCATTTTTGAAAGCTTTTAGTCAAAACAGAGTCAAACTGCAACTAAAGATCAAATAATGTGGCAGTGATAAAAAAAAAATTGAACTTGTTAATATGAGGATTGAAGGTAATAAATTAACCAGATAGTCACAATACTTTTAAAAAATATGTAAATGTTGCTTCTTTAATATACTAAACTTCACTAAGTAGATAGTGTCTGTCTGTCTGTGTGAGGGAGGGACTATGGTATAGCTCTTGGGTGATCAACAGATAAATCTATTATTAGCGAAGTTGCGGCCAAAGTTTTCAACACGAAAACGTGAATGTCGGATGTTCAGAGCCGCCTTCGTATAAGCCTAGAAATTTGACAATGGCATTCCAAACACCATTGTCAAGCTTCTAGGCTTACAAGAAGGTGGCACTGAATGTCCGACCTTCACATTTTCGCATTGAAAACTTCGACCGCAACCTTGCTATTATTTTAGGAATTAGAACTTATGTCAAGTATCTACAAAATATTATTTTTTATAAAACTGTAAACATTAAAATGAAAAATTTATCAATTTTGTATATAAATATAGCACCTATTCATCATGTGATAGCTGTATCATTGTCTTCCTTACATACATACATACATACAAGAAAGACTTCGGCTGTACACGAAGTGTTTAGCCGGCAGAAAAGAAGGAAAGGGGAAGGAGGAGGGAGAGGAGATAGATAGTAGAGAAAGGTAAGGTCCCTCTGAACGGTGTACCTATGGTTACAGTACCCTCTATGTTTGATGTTGGTGTGCAGTTTTTAGGCTGCAAGGCTGTAGTCCCTGAAGGGTCTAAAAGAAAACCTGAGTGTAGTGAACACCAATGATTCAGTGCTGCCACGAATAGCTAAGTGCTGAAGTTAGTGCCAAGTGGCTGTTAGTAGGAAGAGTTATAACTACTTAATACTAATGAAACTGAATACAATTGCAAATCTTAATACTACTTAACAGCTAGACAGGCAGTGTGAAAACAAATGACGACGACAAACTAGACAAAACGAATGGACTGACAAAGGACAAATGAGCAAGACCCAATTTCTTTTTTTTTTTTTTTAACATTAACTTACTCACTAACTAAAACTAACCTACCATATCCTAGGACAAACCTAACCAGACAATTAAAGCTAACAAACCCTAATCTAATTTAACCTAACCGGAAACCAAGCTAAGAGTCCCTAATCTAACTTACAACTAGGACTAACTTAAAGTAACTGAATTTAGACTGAAAAAGAAGATGGAAAATAAGAATTAAACTATAAAGTTGAAACAAGCAAGGGAAAGCTAATTGCCATCCATACCCCCGGATCAAGTGCTCTCAAGAGCCCCACTAAGGGATATGAATGCAAGTAGATGATGGAACATTGTACGTGTGTGAATGAGTTTGTGCGGGTTGTAAGGCCAGTTGTAAAAGCTGCTATTCTTGAAGGTACCCTTCAAGAATAGCAGCTCTCATTAAACTATCCGTAATGTGATTGTACCTGTTGCAGTGAAAAACTAAGTGAAGTGGTGTTTGGTCCCCAAGGTTAAATCTATGCAAGTATTGCTTAAAGTTGCCGTGTCCTGTAAGTAGTTGAGTGAGGATGTAACTAAGGTAAAAGTGGCAAAGAATCGCAGTAGTGTCAACCTTGGGAATGAAAGTGTAGGTGAGCCTACCAGTGGTGTCATGGTGTCCCAGCTGTCTTGCCAGAGAATGAAGATTTGCTTCTTGACGTGATTGTTGATGTACGAGGTAGAAATGTAACTGAAAGTACTAGTGACTGAAGACTTTGCAACTTGTTTGGCAAGACGGTCAGCAGTCTCATTGCTGAGAACGCTTGCACGACCCGGGATGCATTGGAAATCTATTCTAATGTTGTTGTCTAAGTGTCTGAGAATGTGGTATAAGAGATGGACAAGTTTTAA